CGTAATCACGCAGGTGTAATATAATCGTTTTGATGCGTTTCATTTATTGAATTTTTATTTTATTGATATTATACCTCCATATCTCCGGTGCGACCCACCTGATCTGTTTATGCAGTTTTAACATTGTAGTGTAACTGACTATGGAAAAAATATAACACTGATAGGAAGTAAATGGGACTTACGGAACGTACAAGGATAAATAAGGTAGTTTCTACAACCGATTGAGTTTCCTAAAGACTTGAACAACCCTGAACTGACATTTAATGCGATGAATACAGAATCAAAATTCAATTTTCTTGACCCTTTGTGTCCGGAATTGAATAATTTTAGGATTTTCACTTCATAAACCTAGTTCCGAACCTAAAGGATGTAAAAAAATGTCAAATATTTTTTGAAAAAAATGTATTACACATATTTTTTTGAAAACGTGGAGGTCACCCGAACGAACCAGTAGGACCACCAAACAAAAACTTTTACCAAAGAAACAAAGCATTATCTTTCCACAACATAAGGCTACTCGACATTATGATATGCAAGAAAACAATTTCTCTTGTCATTCAAGCATAAACCTACAGGGCAAATCGTGCAACTCCACATATTCCTATGAGCTTCCTTTTTTGTGCTGTTGATGGCGCATCGTCTGGAAGTTCCATATATAGGTATGTGAGCAGATTTTTCTGTCCTTTTTTCAATGGGAACGTATTTTTTATAATGATTTATGGGTTCCATTGATTTTCGACCTTTTTTCTTGGTAATGCATCCCGACGCAAGTCCTGAAGAGACATTTATCCTGAACTGTTTCAAATCGAGAGTACGCGTTGACTACCGTAGTATCGACAAAGTGCCAAACTATCCTATGGTACCACTTCTTGCTTTTTCGATCTATGCGTAGCATTCTTTTAGCATGTCCGCCTTATCGACGGCATCCATTGATTGTTATGGTAATTTGACAAGAAATAAACAGCTTTTTTGTCTTTCCATTTTAGACATACCAACATATCATTTGTCATTCTCCAGTCATATTGGCCTCGCGCTAGTTTTTTATCATCGATAAAGTCATCTGGCAAATATTTTTTCCCTTTTCTCAAAGAGCCACAACCACATAATTCCATTTTGTTTCAAGTAGCTGAGCAGTGGAACACTTGAAAAATAGTTGTCAAAAAAGATTCTATAATTTTGTTGTTGCAAATCTCTTGTCAAGTCTTTGACTACTCTTCCTCCTAAATCTTTTTGTGGCAAGTCACCAATCTTACCAGAATATATTTGAAATTCGCAAATATACCCTGAATCATCAGCCCGCACCCAAACTTTGTATCCACTCCATTTATTTTTTTTCTATAAAAAAAATAAATGACCGTTTACAGTCCTAGTGGCTACCTCAAGAAACCACTACATATTACATGGAACAAAACCCAGTCAGATGGTAAATTGATCAATTGAGTCGGAAGGTATGAAATATTACAGTTATAAAACTAAATACTGACGTGTCATTTCAATTTTCACTCAGTGTGTTCACGTTTACAAACAGCCGAAAAAAGACACACGCGGAACCTTCGCAATGGATAAAGAAACTTCACGGAATACACACCTCCTCGCACGGGGCAGAGCCGTCAATTTTTTCCCGATAGATGTCACTAACGGTAATACTTTTAAACCGCGGTAAGGCTACCCGACCAGTAGGACTGAAATTACGTGTTTTAATCTGGGTGGTTACATGGATCGACCAGTAGAACGGAAAGGGTTAACCGTTTTATGTCCAGAAATATATAGATGGCCAGCCTTCCTACTTTGGAAAAAATGTTACTGGTACGGTCTCTGGGTTACACGTTCGTTGAAATCAGTAGTAGCGGCAACAAAAAGCGCGATATATTCCCAGAACTGGGCACTGCGAAAGTGAACACGGAAGGCTAGTTCGTCAGACGGATAAAAGCAGTATAGAACAAAAGACACATGCTTGGCTATTTTAAATTTTGCTTTTCAATTGTTTAAAGGATAATACATGGTATTCCTTTCTACATAACATTGGACATGAAACGTAGTTATGAAATTATAATGAGCAATCAGCGGTGCGATAAACATAGCTTTGTATATAATTAAGTACTATCTCCAGTTATAGCGAGGTACCATGTTTTGAGAATTATACTTTATTACCATTATTATTATTTCTCACGGATATAGAGAATGTCTCATGGAAAACGGGTGTAAAACCCACATTTCCGCCTCAAGTTCTTCAGCTCATCATTAAACTAATCTTTAGGTATTTAGTGGTTTTGGTGAGCCACCCGCCATCTTGAAATTTTCAGCTGCCATATTTACGCTAAAATATGGTATCAATGAGTCAATTTCATCGCCCACTTCAGCTTGCTGACTTGACTCGTTCAAAGAATAACCCTTTTGGAAAGCACTGTACAACTCTTTCAGATGTCCTGGTACCTAGATAGATGTGCATGTCATGGGTCAGTGGTACATAAAATAGGCCACGTAATTAATTAATATCAGAATACCACTCGATTGTCAAAATTCTGAACTGGCGTATTGTGTTATAAGCCTGTTGAATTTTATATTAATAAATTGACGTATTTTTGATGTACTTTATTTGTACCACCGATTCTCAATAGATACTTCTCTAATCAGGGAGTGGAAGTGGATTCATTGCCTTTCAAATTAGTAGAAATTACCTATGTTGAATTAATGTGCAAAATTGATGATGTTGACGCTGAGGCGGTACCTTCAGATTCTGGATTAATCATGGACCAGTCAGAAGATGAAGTATAAAATATCGATACTGACTTTACCAATATTTTGCAGTCTGACAGCGAATCAGATTCAGAGTGTAACTTTCCTCTATCAGTTTTTCAAATGAAGTTGGCACAAAATGAGGACACTCGTGTTTGGTCCAAAGATAGAGTACAAGAAAAACAGGAAACTTCGTTGCTGACGCAGGAATAACTGATGTAGTGACACATTTGGACTTTCCTACTCCGGAGGAACTATTTCAGATTTTTTTCACCGACGCTGTATTAGAAGACATAGTTTCTCAAACTAATTTATATTGTCATCAAACATCTAATAAGCCTAGCAACATAAATATATTTGACCTGAAATTCGCAAATCAAAAAAGTGGTGGCATCGTATATTTCTTTACTTATTGGATATGGCTGTTGTAACTTCCTTTGTTTTGTATAAAGAATTGAGTTTGCCAGAACTATCGATGAAGGATTACAGAAGACAAGTAGTATTTTGACCAATTGTACTGTTAAGATGAAAAGGACATCACTTAGCTCAGAACTAATTGCAATTAAGAGGTCAAAACAATACGTGCCTGTTGAAATACGTACAATAGAGAGTGCTCATCAACCACAAAGAACCACCAGACGTTATTGCGTCTACTGCAGCAACTCAAAAAAACAGATTCGGACTGATTGGATGTGTACTGTTTGCAAGGTGCTTCTAAGTTTAGGAAAAAATAAATCGTGTTTTCAGCATTTTCATAATCAACAATAATTTACATAGATGTACACTGGTACATTATTCGTACTACCTGATTTTTTTTGAAATGATTCAAGAAAAATACACGGAAAAACTTTTAGACCAGTTTTATTATTACTATCGTTCATGAAGTAACCTGTATAAGTTAAAAAAGTAAATACGAAATGTGTGCCCTTCTAGGGTTTTTTCAAGCGGAAGTTACTTGCCCCTGAAAGAGATGACGTCATCGTGCAAGCTTTGCACCACAATCTTCTCGCAGTGTAAACTCACCCTGTAGGTGACCTTACATTCACTGACACGAGAAAAGTCAAAGCATATAAGAATAATTCTACAGTTCATTTCTCGTCATTATTATCTGGTGGATTACTTCTGGTACACATGAAACATGGTTATAGATGTCACGTTTTTTTTTTGGATACATAATTATTGTAGTGTCCATTAATCAATTGGATTTGACCTTTAAATTATGCGTGAACATGTGATATTTGTTTGTTGCCGGACATTTCTATTCAGTTTTACATGTAAACAATGTAAAATATGAAGATAACAGAATTGAACGACAGGTTTATGTAGATTCAGCTTTAGGTTTAATTAGGTAGAGCAGGGCTGTCCAACTTAATGTGGCACAAGGGCCACTTCAAAAAAAAAAATGCAGTTTGGTGGGCCGCATTACAAAATATTTCTATACAACATTATTACTGAATTTTAATAGGTATATCCTATACTATATGGTATACAAAATAGTTTTTCTATTATTTTTATTTATTCAAAGAATAGAAATTACAAAAAAATCAGTGGGACATTTGAGGATGTTGGTTTTCTAATACTAATGTATCAATATTAACATTAATATTTGTTGTTGATAAACGAAGTAACTGAGACTACCTAGTAGAGGAATAGCACAACTCTATCCACCATGGTGAAATGCGGCTAGCTGTGCCATGGTGGGACATTGTGCACAGCAATCAAGCGGTTTTCCTTGTGGAAACTTCTGGATGTCCTGAACGAATTTTTAAGCTTCATTCAACGATAATTGATAAGATCAAAGAAAGGCCTTAAAATGTAATCTAGCCAAAGCACTATTGAAGATATTTCCACCTTAAAAACTGGGCAACTCAGCTCGATCTATGAGGAAAATGAAGTCGCAGTGACAGTGAACTCAGACCGATATGTAAATATTTGGCAGGAGTTTTTTTCCATAGCTAGATGAGTTGCACTTAGGGGAGCGCCTCATCTCAATTAGGGGGATTAGGAGCGGCCGGCTCGCCCCTCCCGATTTGGCACCAGGTGGTTTTTTGTATGGGATGTTTTGAACTCCCGTGTTTATCTGAACCATCCAAGGATCCTGAAAGAATTGAAAACCAACATCCGGGAAAAAGTTGCAACATAGCGTCTGCTATGCTGGCAAGAGTAATGAAGAACGCCAGGTTTCGGTTTACACAGCCTATCGAGAGTGGAGAACGTCACCCATCTGATTGATCTTTAAACTATCCCACTAGCGATGTACTTACAATACGCGAAAAATGACATACGTCATACGTTACTAATTTCTGTCGGTCTGTCTCTCTATCTGTCGATATATCTGTCCTCTAATCTTTGTCCCCTCTATAGCTCGAAAAGTACCGCTCGTATTTTGAAGGAACTTTGACATGAAGTTACTACTATTCCCAAGAAGGAGAAGCTTCGAAGTTATTGACAATCTATGCAGTGGCGGCGCAGCTACGAGCTGAAAGCGAGAAACATGAAAATAAAAATTGCCTAAAGACATTGGGTGTAAGGTTACAGGAGATGCAGGGGAGTATCTTAGCTATTCGCTGCCGCTGACGACTTACTCATGGGAATCATCGTAACGTTGTCAGGTGGGGCAGGGCAGATCACAACATTGTGACAATTTATGGATTCAGAAAATTTTTTCTAACGGAGTCGGCACAATGAAAATACTTAATACATATTATTCAGTGAAGTTAGTTTAAGATCCTCTTGAAAGCTTTAAATTCGCCGGTAACAAATTGGGTACCTAATATTTATACCGAAAATTACAATAAGGGCGTTTGCGTGGTTTGTTAAATTTTTTAAATTCCACAAATAATTGCTACTACATATAACTGTGAATTAATTCATTTATTACTTTTTACTTGCTATGCCACTGTGCGAATTTTGATACACAAGGTTGTTATTAGGCCAAGAACGAAAAAGCTTTATAGTTTTCGAAAATCGGTCATGTGGGGGTTGGGAAGGTTATATGAAATTTTTTGATCTTAGTATATTTATACTCTCTTAACCCCGGTAATTATATGCACCTATTAGTTATATTTTATACATCATAGATTTACTCGTAAAAATGATGAGAAGCATTTTCGATCCGCGTACTACTGCTATCTAAGTTCGCCGCCCGACGAACCAGTCTGGCTGACAAATCTATCCTTACTGTAGCGCAAAAACATATACACGGACCATACTCGAAATGACCGATAAGTCGGTGCAGCGATGCCGCGCTGGGCGGAGTCGCGCAGATGTGGAAACATACAACGTTGCCAGATGGACAGTAAGTTCCGGTAGGGCAGGGAAAGTATGCCTATAGGATAATTGGATACGCCTGTTAGTGACTTGATCTGTTTGATTACCCTGTTCTGTATATTTTGACTTTTTTCTCTTCTTTCAAGAGAAAAAATATGAAAACAACCAAGTTGAAGAAAAGGAGCATCTTTGGGATTCAGTTCTTGAAGATTATTTTTTTCCAAAAGGGGGCCTATAGTGCGGTCAATGTGGTCCGTTTTGTATTCCAATTTTCGATGACGAGCATTTCGAGTTGTATTTGGGGACCCCTATGGCGACATAACACAAGATTTGCTACGTGGACTTCAATTCAAGTCCATGTTCCAGCATCTAATTTCGAGCTATCACAGGACATGGAACTAACAAAGCTGTTAATTTCTCATTTTAAACTGATGAATTGGCCATCTGGACTGTGTGATGTCACAGATCTGGTCTTTAGGGCTACGTCATTTAACGATTAATAGGATTGTTAAATACCACCCCAACAGCAATAGCTGTATAATTTTTTTTATACACCAACTGCACACATTCTGGCTCCGCCTACGAGATTCGCCGGGTGGTACCTCCGCGTTCGACAGTCAGAGACCATCTACCACCTACGGACAATCACAACATCCATAGCCAAGAGAAACATTTCTTCTGGGACGGGACTCGAACCCGCACAGCGCACGGCGACCGATCAGGAGACCGAAGAGTCTACTACTGCGGCCACCGCTGCTTCAAAGCATTGAAATAGGGAGGATATAATCGAGATTTTTAAATTAAGGGGAAAGTTATCTTGATCGATTGTAAGCTTTGTACCAAAACTTATTAAAAAACTCACCGGTAACAATTTCTAAGGTTGCGTGAAGATATTTATAGTTGATATATGTACAGAAAAATCCAATGGTAACTTCACATTAAGCAGTCACATCCTACAAAGGTTCATCACAGATATGATGCACGGTGTATCGAAAAAACGTGCGTGCGGTAACTTTAAGTCATAGTTCCGGAAGGTAAAAGTGGTATTTGTGCAGTATGCTTGAGCGGTACCGTATGACTACTGATTATTGGTGAATGCGCGCCGCATGGCACCGCGCGGTGGTTCCATCGATGGTACGGTGCGGTGGTAGGAATCATCGAGAATAGTGGAGGTCTTTTGCAAGTGCAGCCTAAGACGCACGGTTATTGGAGGGTTGTTCACCTTTATCACAAATACACGATTACTCATTCGGTTCAAGGAAGACGCGAAATCTAGGGAAGTACTGCTAGCGCGAAGGTTCCCGAATCTAAGTGGTAAGGTTTCGAAGTTGATGGCTATGGAGTACCTCAAGGTTCATAGTTAGGTCCTTTACTGTACACCATATTTACAAGTCAATTAGCTCTTACTTTGAAACTTGCTAAATTGCACCCCTATGCTGACGATATGCAGGTGTATCTATCGTTCAAAAAAGAAGTACAGGTAACTTGTGCCGAATTACACATTGACCTCAATCACTTTATAAACGCGGCTACGTATCACTGTTAGTTGAATTGAGGATGTCCGTATTTCTTTATCAGAACAAGCAAAAAGTCGTGGAGTTGTTCTTGATTGCGAAATAAGGCTTAAATCGCATATTAATTATCACTGGACAACAAATTTTAGTTTTTTAATTGTATCTTGTGGGAAAAGTGCACTTCTTTATTAATTTTGGGGCGCTGAATCCAAAAATGATAATAAAATAAAAATAAATTAGTTGCGGTTTAGAAAAAAAACTTTTTATTTTAAGAATATATTAAAAAAAGTAACAAGATTCATATACTTATAAGAATCACTATATGCGCTGTCTTTTTGCTGTTCTTTTATAGATCGTTTCTGGAGCACCTCTATCAAGAGTCCAACAGTAGTCTGCAAGCATGGAAGGATTCCACTTTCCCTGGTACCTTTTTTCCATTGTTGAAATATCCTGATGAAAACGTTCGCCGTGCTCATCACTTACGGCTCCGCAATTGTCAGGAAAAAAGTCCAGGTGTGAGTGTAGGAAATGTATCTTAAGAGACATATTACAGCCCATCTTTTGATACGATGACAGCATATTTTTGACAAGGGTTTTATAGTTGTCAGCTTTTCTATTTCCCAAAAAATTAGTGTCCACCAGACGGAAATCATTCCAAGCAGTTTTTTCAATACCTGTTAAAGTGTTTTCAAACTGTGTATCTTTCAAAATATTTCGAATCTGTGGCCCAACAAAAATACCTTCTTTAACCTTTGCCTCACTTAGTCTTGGAAATTTCTGACGCAGTTATTGAAAAGCTGACCCATCTCTATCTAATGCCTTGACAAAGTTTTTCATTAGGCCCAACTTGATATGCAGTGGTGTTAATAAATTTTTTTCCGAATCTACTAATGGCATATGCTGTACATTTTTCTAGGAAATTGACGAACAGGCCAGTTTTGTCTGGTGTAATGAAGTAAACAGCAAAACTTTGTGTAGCTTAGCTGCAGCCCAAGTAAAAGTGCAACAACTTTCAAATCGCCACAAATATGCCATTGGTGCTCATCGTATTTTATGCATGTCAATAGGTACTTCATATTGTCATATGATTCTTTCATGTGAACTGCATACCCTACAGGAAGAGATGGTAAAATATTTCCAATATGCAATAACACTGCCTTTAAACTCAATGTTGAACTGTCTATAAACAATCTCCATTCTTCTGGGTTATAGTTTATATTTAAAGCCGCCAGTAAGCCGTTAATGTTACTGCAGAAAACCAAGTTATTCTCCATATTGAAAAATGGTTCTAAGTCTTTGTGGCGTTTACGAAAAATACATACCGAAACATCGTCTTCTAACAAGTTCCACTGCTGCAGTCTTGATCCAAGTAACTCTGCCTTACATTTTGGAAGTTCTAAATCTCTTACAAGATCATTTAATTCTGACTGTGTTATTTTGTGCGGTTGGTGGCATGACCCGTTCGGTATAAAATCAGGATCTCTTGACGTTGATGGCATATCTTCTTCCTGACGAATCACTCGATCGCCATGATCTGATTCGTTTTCTGATTCGCAAGTATAGGATTCTGGGGGTTTTGGAATAGGATTTTCGTCACTGTGAGGCACAGGTCTCATCGCAGATGGTATGTTTGGGTAGTTAATAACCGATTTTTTTTTCTCGGACATACCTGTAGCTTGTCCAACGCAAGGTACTATGCAAAAGTAACAATCATTAATATGATTTGTAGGCTCTCTCCAAACCATTGGGACAGCAAAGCGCATAGACCGTTTTTTGCCATTTAAACAGCTCCTCAGACTTGAAGTAGTGGAGTAATAGACCGTCTCTGAGACGCAAAAGTCACATCACCACACACGTAACAAAACTGATCTGGATTGTTTACACACTTTCGAGACATCTTGCATGAACGCTGTCAGCCAACTGAGGAAAAAATGGCTAATATAAAACAATATAATGTACACGTATGTATAACGTAACACAATCGTGCCGATTACATCATCTTTGCTTGCCGAATATAAAAATGTAGCACGTGCATTCTTGTGAATTACAGTATATTAACACTGTCACAGCAGGAACACATATAATTACCGTATCTCTAAAACTTGAACTAATATTGAAAAAATAAGTTTCATTCCGGGTTTAGCACATTAAAAATAGTAATATTTTGTTGATTTTATTTAGGATATTTTTTGGCTGTTGATCAGTGTTATCTATTGCAGAAAAATATGCTTTAAAATTGATATATATATTAATATAAACTATCTTTCAACTAAAAATGAAATACTTAGTTATCTCCTAGGCTCTACGATAGTTCTTCCAATTTTAATCTATACCGATGTTGTATATCGTCTTCATTTAACCCCCCTTTACAAACAAAAGATACAAAACGTGCAAAATTCTTGTTGTAGCCTAGTGTATGGTATCCGCATACCAAACTGGGTCGCTCACAAACTGTATGATGCAGGGTGGTTAAATATGTATAGTCGTAATAGAAGGCTACTGCATGCAGCGCGTTTATATCACAGATTAATTATTCCAAAACAACCGGTATGCCTCTATAATGAAATAGAATTTTGCACCGTTGTAAATGTTACATTGAAGGGTATATTGTCTCCTCTAAAATTTCATCAATTTTTCAAGCGAAGTTTTACCAACAAGATTTACAGTGTGCACAACGGCTTTCGGTTTAAATATTGAATAACAAAACTAATACCAAAATGGGAGCTTTGCAAGAGATGTTGCCCGGTTGTTCAATGCGTTGCATCTAAAGAAAAATATTAACTGTAAGTATGTGGCTAAGTTGATAAGAAAATTTGAAGAAACTGGATCTGTGTCTAATATTCGTTATAATTGAGGAGCAGACATTCTAAGCGTACTTTGTTTACTTTTTCAGATTTTGAGATATAGATGGCGTTGCAATCTATTTTGTCCGTTTAACAACTTCCATACCACAGACAATCTAACTACATTTTGTTCCACTTCAATTTAATATTCAATAAAACCTAGACAAACTACTATGTATCTAACGAAGCTACAAAGTAATCGTAAACAGTGGTTGATTCGTGATCAACGCGTGATCGGTAGCCATAGCGCTCTGTCGGCCTCTTCCTGATTGGCTTGTAGCGACGAGCCTCCAGACAAAGTCGCACGGTTGCCACGCTCGGCGAGTTTTCGCCAGAGTGGTTGATCACATTCGCATGGATCACAAATCAATCTGTTGGTGCAATACGTGCAATAACTGTTGTAAAGGACATTATATAACAATAAATGGCATCACAAAGGTATATTTCAATTTGATCTGCAGCAAATTATGAACGGCATATTTGGAGATGCGAAAACAAGCTCAAAAAGGTGAAGAAAATTTTTGTGCAATCTTTATAGTTAAATTTTTCCTAAGAGATAGCATCAGTGAGGGAATTTTTTTCTATTGTCTTATTTTTCACATTAATGCGATGTCGAGGTATGTGGCCCTATCGCAATTGAAAATAAGGTTTCGATAATCCTTCCATAAAGTTTCGATGAGTACATCTGAAATAACCTTGAGATATTCTTCAGGGAAATACAAAAATCTCCTTTTGTGTTTTTTGTGCAGATTTATCTATTAAAATCCTATCCGCAATCTATTTTCCGTGCACACACCTTCAACCGAATGTATGCCATATATGATATTACCGTTTCCAACTTTCACCAAGGTTAATAGGAACCATAACAGCTCCCTACCCTTCCCCCCTATAAGAATATCGATTTGTAGCCTCACATTTCAAGGTTAGACTTCTTGTAATGTTTCTGTTCAACATTCGGCGATTTCTGACAATTTTCCCAATAAAACATGATCATTGTGACATTAAGCCTGGCAACGCTGCATAGTAGAGGGAACTTTCAGCGTCACGTTGATGGTTCGTCACCACGCACAGGATTGTAATCAGTTACGGATACCCGTTTATGAGCGCGAACGCTTTATGCACGTCTTGACTTGATTTTTCTTGCGGAAATTTAATATTAGTCTAAAATGTCTGACACAGATACAGCTGATGAAGTGGTTGAAATCAGCTTAACGTCACCCAGAAAAAGGGCTAAAAAGCTTCATCTTAGCGCAGGTGAAAAACAAATTATTCTAAATATCTACAAGAACCAGATGCAAGAGAATAGTGGATTGGCTATAGAAAATACCGTATGTAAGGTTGCTGAAATTTCTGGAGTAGGTCGATCAAGTGTTTACAAAATCTTGAAGGAATATAGACAAAATCACTCACTATCTGAGCCAAAAACATATCCAGCGAGAAAAAAAATCATCGAAAAAATAGATGACTTTGACAAAAGTGCCATTAGAAGAAAAGTACATCACTTTTTCTTCAGGAATGAAATACCTACAATAGATAAAATATTGAAGCAAGTGAATGATGATGAGGACCTGCCAAATTTTAAAAGATCTACGTTCCATAAGCTGTTGAAAGAACTAGACTTTCGATTTTTGAAAAGAGGAAGGAATAGTTTATTGATAGAAAAGGAGGAAATTGTTATCTGGAGGAGAGAATACCTTAGAAAAATTAGGCAATTCCGCGCTGAAGGAAGAAAAATTTATTATTTAGACGAAACATGGGTGAACGCGGGGCATACGCAGGGA